AATGGGAATTTCATCCTGTCCCACCGAGCCACGTGGGAAAGCCAAGTGGCTCCATGGGTATCCCCCTCCCCATCCCACTCCGGCTCCTCGTGCTAAAAAGGAGTTATCTGCATTCCTGGAGGCTCAGCCACTTCCAGGTTATTCTGAGATGGATTTCCCTAAGGAAAACAGTGAGGGGGAAATGCCACACACTGATCCTGTGGACACTTGGGAGCTGCTCCGGAAAAACAGGATGGTTTTTATCCAGGTAAAGTGATGGTTCCTGTGGATGACTGGTTTTATCTCTTGGCATCCACCTCCTGAGCTTATCCCAGCACAGCAGCCCTAGAATTCCTCGTTGGAGTCAGTGGTTTCCAGGTCAGGGCTTTAGGCCTGGAAGCAGCAAACACTGAATTACACAGTTATTAAAATCCACTGAATCCTGGGAAGCAGGAAATAGTGGGTGAGCAGGGAATTCCGAGCAGCTAAGCAGTCGGAAAACCCAATTTTGGGAAGCTCAGTGGGACAACAAGACACCCCAAGGCTTGAGAATACCTGAGCACAAGGAGGTCGGCTCCCTGCTCAGCAGGATTCTCTGTTTCCCCCTCAAATCCCGAAGGAAACACCTGGATGTAGCTCAGTGCTCTTCCCTCTGCCTGCCCCAAGGGGTTTTTCCTGGCTTTAAGCTGGAAAGTGAATTCCCTGGCAGGTTTATTGTCCCTTGGCAATCAGCGGCCCAGGCTGGCACATCCTTCCTCAGGTGAGTGATGCCGGGCTGGGAGAAATGGCCCTTGGAAGAGGAAACAGGGAATGTTGGGAGGGCCAGAGCCTGCAATCACCCCCTCAGATCCCCTCCACCTCATCCAAGACTTCCCAGCACATCCCAGCCCGCTCCTGAGGGAAGGAATCAATCAGTGGTGGCCAAGGAGGAGCTGGGATCTCTCAGGTGTCCCCACGATGCTCATCCATGGGATTTAGTGGGATTCCCAGCAAACCGAGTGCCTGAGGGCTTGGAAACATCTCTGGTGCCTTTTCCCTTGTGGAACAACCCCAGGGAACAGTGTTTTCCCACCTATTTGTCAAATGCTGCCTCAAAAACTGTGGCTTAACCGGGATGAGGCACCTCCTGGAGTGCCAAGGCCAGCCCTGCCCACACGGGGCCGGGAGCAATCCCCGGGATAGGGAAAGGACAGGGATTCAGGGTGGAGCTTTTAGTGGCAATGGGATCTTGTGTCTGAAGTGGCACAGGTTTCCCAGAGGAGCTGTGGATGCCCCATCCCAGGAAGTGTTCAAATCCAGGTTGGAGCAACCTGGGCTAGTGGAAGGTGTCCCTCCCTGTGGAATTGGTTGGGCTTTAAGGTCCCTTCCCACCCAAACCGTTCCAGGATTCCCTGTTAAAAATCACCAGCTGCTGCCCAGTGAGGCAGAAATGGGGTTTATAATTATAAAATTAAAATCAAGGAGTCATGGAATTGCTTCTAGGCCCGTGGAAACAGCTGTTTGTATGGATTTCTCCCCAAAACCCCACACCTGCCCCTTCCCTGTCCCCAGTCAGTCCCAAGAGAGTTCACAATCAGGCCTTTCCCTGCGTGGGACGGAGGGAATTCTGAGCTTGGAGAAATCCCTCTTTATCCAGAGACATTCCTGGCAGGAAGGAAGACAAAAGGGTGGAAACTTGGGCTGTTTGGGAATTTGTTTCAAAAGCAAATTCCCAACTCTTCTGTCCTGCTGTTGGAGCTTAAAGCCTGTAAATAGAGACTATGGCACCACTGGAAGACTTAAGGAAAAAACCACCAAGTAAAGCACTAATTTGTTGGTTTAAATGTTGCTGCCACAGCTTTAATCACTGTATTTTGCCAGCCAGTTTGTAGAGTTGCATTTGTAGCAGGTTATTCTTGATTCCTGGTTTTTATTTGTGGGGAACAAACGTTGGTTTCCCTCTTTTCTTCCTGATTTATATTTATATTTTGCTGAATTTGGAGGGGCTGAGTCTCTGGATTCCTCCCCCCCCTATTTTTTTTTGTTTTGTTTTGTTTTGTTTTGTTTGGCTTATTTAGACTTTGTTTTCTTCTGGAGGTAAATGTGCCCATATGAATAAAATATATAAATACTGCTTTGTATCCAAGGATGGCTCCTGGTGCTTTCCTGCCTTCCCAGGGAATAATAGTGGGATGGAGGAAATTCCCTGTCTTTAATCAGTGGGAGTTTCTGGATGTGCTCAAACAGTGTCCAGTCAGAGTTGTTGGGGATAAAAAGGAGAAAGGAAGGAGCAAAAACAAATTAGGGAGGGAAAAGAAATTAGAAAGAGGGAGAAAAATGAAGAAGGAAAAAAAAAGGGAAAATGGAAAATGAAAAAGGAAGATTAAAGGGAAAAGAGAAAGACAGGAAAGGGAAAAAGGAAGAAGGAAAAGGAGCAAAAAGGAGAAAGGAAAAAATGAAGAAGAAAAAAAGGAAAAAGAGAAAAGGAAAAAAGGAGAAAGGAAGGAAAAAGGGAAGGAGAAAAAAAAAAGAAAGCAAAGGAAAAAAAAAAAAGGAAGGAAATCTGCTGCTGACCTGTTATTTCTCACATGTGAGAGGGCAGGGCCAGATCCAGAAGGATCCAAGAGTCCACAAAAGGAAATCTTCCTTTCCAAATAGGAAACTGGGGCTTGAATTTGTGTTTTGGAACTGGAATTGTTTGAAAGCTGGGCTAAAATTCCAATCTGCCCTTAAAAATCCATAAATCTGTTTATAGACCAGGCAGTTAATTCAGGAATTAATAAATTAATTAATCCAGCTCTTTGCTCTCACTACTGAGCCATAAAACTCCTGGTTCAGGATGAGAGCATGCACAGCATTCCAAATAAAGGGTGAGGGGATACCATGGCAAGTAAGACTGAAGGATTAAAAACAGCTTTAGGCTTTAATTTCCATAGACTGGCTGTACCAGGACACAAGGTGGCACTGGAACTCTTCTGGCCACACACAGTGTGGAAATCTGGGATAACCCCGGGCATATCCCAAAGCATCTGGACCTTGTGCCAATATGGAGAAAAGGAGGATCAAGGGGGGACCTCCTGGCTTTCCACAAATTCCTGACAAGAGGTTGGAGCCAGGTGGGATCAGCCTCTTCTCCCAGGGAACAAGTGACAGGATGAGAGGAAACAACCTCAAGTTGCACCAGGTGAGCTGTAAGTTGGATATTAGGGAGAAATTCCTACATGGAAGGGGCTGTCAAGCATTGGAACAGGCTCCAGTGGTGGAGTGACCAGCCCTGGAGGGATTTAAAATCCCTGTGGATGTGGCACTTGGGGCCATGGGCAGGGGTGGCAGTGCTGGGGGAATGGTTGGACTCTCTGTTCCTAAAGGGTTGTTCCAACCCATACGATCCCATTATTCCATCCAAGTGGTTTGGAAAATCCAGGTAAACAGAAACACCTAAAAGACAAAGCAGGAGTCCCGAGGCAGGTGTGTCACAAAGCCAGTTTTATTCGGGTGTCACGCACCACACCTGACACAGGAGAGCTTGTTGGTTTTTTTGCTGAAATACAAAAGAAATATAAAAAGAGCTTCCCCGAATCCCACGTCAGGGGGTTCACACGTAGATCCCGACCCAGAGCAGCAGGAACAGGACTCCGAAGCCCATGAAGAGCGAGGCCACCAACGAGATCAGCAGCTCCTTGTAGATGTCCCGGGTGTATTTGGTGGATGTCACCTCGTATCTGCAGGACCGAGGTTAAGGTGGTAATCTTAAACAAGGGGAGGGGAGCCCGGGACTGGTGGGATGATCCGGGATC